ACTAAATTCCCATTCAAACAGTGCACGTCTCAAGCATCTAGCGACTGGAAGCCTTACCTTGATGAACCCATACCTTATTGGCTCTATTTCAAGACGAAGATCCTTCTTGATTATATTGTGTACTGTTGTCCAGAGCACGTGGACAGCTTTTGGCACAAACTTTGTGGTCGTGGATTCTCACCCGTTACAAGATGCCACACTTTGTTTCCACATCTGGGATACAACTTGTTGTAGTTCTCTTTCTGGGTGGTTCCCCAGATTGAATCATATTTCTTTGCTTTCCAATTTCGTAAGTATAAGGTATATTCATGTCTTGGAAGCTCTCATCTGGACACACTTTTATGATCTTAGTTTATAACTATTATGCGTCTGAAAGGGCTGTTACCTACCCTTTCCAACTGCAATCTGTAACACAGTACCCACGAAATGCCAAACAATATTAAAATGTAGCTTGATACATTCTGATCCAACACGACTTTATGTGGGCTGTGACTGTTATCTGAATTTCTGAGTTGCATATTCATAATATTTTTGATATAATATACTCAGCCCTCTGAAGAGACAAGAAGAATGAGGCGTTGCTCCTGTTCACACCTCTTTTTTACCATCAGCTATAAATAGCTGATTTTCTTTTATTTCAGGTAAGTCTACGTAGCTCAGTAGACTCAATGTGTTTATTTTGTTTTCACACCGACTTTTGTATTGTGCTGGTAAGAAGCTGCAATGTATATTTTAGTCATTAATGTCTTAAAACTAGAAATGGAGAGTGTGTGTTAAACAACATTTTCTCGTCTGTACTGAAGTTTACTATGTGTGAAATACTCATAGACACTGTTAGAATTATCACATGGTTGCAAAACTCACAGATTTTCGTAACAATATTAACAATATTTAATTATTGATACATTCATAGACACTCGCAATTCAAATATCGCATGACTACAACACTCACAGAGTTTCATAATTGCTACAAGAATTTCTCCTAATGTATAAGTACTAGTAGAACTGCCTCACGTGTACAACATTTATAGACAATCGCTGTCATTGTGATTAATCCATAGTCACAAAATTCATAGACTTCTTGTTAGAATTGTCTTTTGGTTATAAAACTGACCCCATTGCTCATAAAGTTAATTCGCAGTTAATCCTCACAAGCAATAGTATTGGTAAAAGTATATCTTGGTTAAACAACTCGCAACCACTGATGGAATTAAAATTATGTCATAGATGTATATACCCAAGTGACTAACTCTTCTTCTTCTCCAATGTCGTGTCTGCATGCAAGCGTTGACGATAATGACTTTCCATTTACAATGCAATAAACATCAGATTACTTAGCAAATGTAACAAGTGTGTTATTGTAAGTTAAACTATTTCAGGGCTGTTACATTGTCACTCCTTCTATCCTTTCATGCATGATTGTACATATGGGTATGAAATGTATCATCTTATGTTTAGTAACAAAATACGCCCCCCAGTAGCACAGCGGTATGTCTGTGGACTTACAACGCTAGAAACCGGGTTTCGATACCCGTGGTGGGCAGAGCACAGATAGCTCATTGTGTAGCTTTGTGCTTAACTTTAAACAAACAAACAAAGTAACAAAATACAATTATGGATAATACTGTTCAGCTAAGTGTAACATGTTAAGCTGATTTTTAACACTTTTTAAACTTTTTTAGGCATGGCCTAGTGGCTATCGTGAAGTACTATGGACCCGTGGAACTGTATGGTTCGGGTCCCGTAGTTATAAAAACCGCGCTCCGCGCTGTGAATGAGTTATAAAATGAGTTTATAAGAGTGTCGCTCAAATTTCACTGTTCGGTTTGTCAATAATAACCCAAGGTGAGTGATTTTTGACTAGTCGCCTTCCTTGTACCTGGTTATAATTAAAGACGGTTTAGCCCTTGTGTAGTTTTGTACGGAAATTCTAATGAAGCTATTTTTTAACTCGATGTATAATAGCTGTTAATGAATACAGGTATTTTTCGGATCTGTTCTGTAATCAGGTTCCTTCTCAAGGACACATTAGTATTTGATGTCTTTGTTACTATTATATTTTGGCAAAGATGTAAATAAGACATTTTTTTCGCTGGGCGAGTGAAATAAACTATATCTAAATAAATGTATATAACTGTATATCTCAAATCTCATTCATGGCCATTATCAGCAGTATCATCAGGATTTACCTGTAGAGCATCTATTGATCTATCCCTCTTCTCATATGAGAATGAGAAGGCGATGATGTTTGAAAGAAAAACTGTAAGTCGAGTAATCTCGAAATGGACTCCATATGACAAATAAGTTTTCCGTCATATGATATCTACTTGCATGTTAGCATACTTATAAACGGGACTGATGAAAATAAAATGGCAAGGTAAAGTCTCTGATACAGAAGTCTTACAACAAGAAAGGATGCCATGGTCATGAAAACACAACTAGGATGATCAGGCCATGTAGTCAGAATGTCAGAAGCGCGCCTCCTAAAGAAGATATTCTACAGGGAGCTTGTTAAAGGCAAAAGATCACAAGATGAATAACGTAAAAAGTACAACGAATGCTTAAAGTCAACAATAAAGCTCTGTAACATTGATGTTGACAACTGGAAACTGAATGCTCTAGATTGCAAGTCGTGACGTAAGCTAGTTCACAGTGGAGCATTTGGCTTTGGGTTTCGCCGCATCAGGGATGTTGAAACCAAATGGCGCCTTCGCAAGTCTCTTAAACAAAATCTACACTCAGTTGCTCCGAACCCAGAATTCTCATGTGCAAAGTGTGGAAGAAGATTTCATGCGAAAATGGAGTTTATTGGCCATTACGGGTACATCAAAAACCCTGAAATGTAAAATGGCTGTCATCTTAACATGTGATGGACGAACACACAAAAACGTGCACTGATTTAGTTTATACGTTGATAAACCCATGCTGTATACAAGTTGTCGTGGTAGATTTCAAACATCTGGTTACAATATGTTATTGCTCAAAGTCATCTGAAACATTTTTATAATTGGAATATTTTAGTATAGAACACAGTAGTACTCATTCGCATGAGCGGTTATTTCAGAAATAATGTTCGTATAAATTTTAAAATATTTGTCATGAATGGAAGATTTTTGATATATTATCTTTCCAACGCTTGTCTCGTGTGAACTAAACGTGAGAACGAATGTTTGTGAATGGCCAAACATATGTTTCCTACAGCATCTGCTAGACTTAAAAATTAATGGCTCTTGAAACACTCAGTTAGAATCTACAATACAAATTATCTAAAAATGTTAATGCTATTGTAAGTCCTTTAAAACTAATGCATCCAACCTGTTTATCACTTTGAAGTGACTAATGTTTTTACACAAGCAGTGTGGGACACTAAACGTGCAAGTTAAATACTCAACAATAACAAAAAATTAAAAATTATATACACCATTGCAGTATAATGACTGACACAAGAAAGTTAAACAGAAGACAACTGCAATCGTGTAGCTAGCACTCTACAATTGAATTACTATAGCTGTACACAGCGTGGTCACAAGTAAATAGACACCACCTTTTCAGAAAATTTTTCAGTCATATTCACAATTCAATTAATATCTAGTAGATCTTCCTTTCGCTTCGTGGAGTTCGTTGATCCTTTGGGGCTTCCCACAATCTAAAATTGACGAGATGATTCTCACGAGAGCACCGTGTCACACTGCTAGAAACACCCAAAAGTGGCAGGAAGAAAATGGTTCGGCCAGAAGTTGCCCTGGCCGAGCCAATCTCCTGACATGAACCCCATCGAAAACCTCTGGGCCATACTCGACCGGCAAGTCAAGAATCAACCAAAAAAAAACCAACTTCGAAGAGCGATCTAAACCAAGTTTTGAAGCAAGAGTGGGCGAAAATAACGTTGTTCCAGGAAGATGGGCTGTCAAGAGGAGCATCGAAATGGATCCCAGATTAACGACTGCAGAAGTGGCCAAAGTTGGTGGGATGAGCCCGAAATCTGTTCAACGGATTCTCCACAGATTGGGTTATCGTTGCAGAGCAGCTAGATGGAAGCCCTTATTAGACCTGCCAACATAGTCAGACGAAAGAAGTGGGCAAGTGATATGATGACCAAGCCTCTGGACTTTTGGAAGACCGTATTGTTCTCAGATGAATCAAGATTCGCTCAATTTTCGGACAGTGGAAGGATATGGGTCTGGAGAATGCCTCACCAAGAGTTTTGGCTCAACAGATTGCAGCCAACTGTGAAGCATGGTGGTTTCAGCATGATGGTTTGGGGAGGTGTTTGGGTTGGTGGAAGATTGAGCTTAGTGGAGTGCGTTGGCAACATAAATTTTGCAAAATACGTCGAAATATTGGAGGAAGGACTCTTGCCACTTTATTCCTCAGGTTTTGTGGACAAGAACACTCTTTTTGTCCTCTCGAATGGACCAGGATGACCCGGACGCTGCTCAGTTGTTTCCTTGCCATGTTTCCTGAACTGCACGATGATTCTGTTGACTGTCGAAAGCTGGATTCCCAAATTTTGCGAAATTTCACCATCTGCTTGACCAACTATCCTTCCCCTAACAAAATCTGACAATTCGAGAGAACCTTGAGTTCTAGGCATGTTGTAGCACAAGATAATTAGTGTGCAGACCATTTTCATTTATATAGTGCCCTGTGAACACAAATTAGTTAGCATAAATCAGTTAAATGACGAAAAATTAGGTGTCTATTTACTTGTGACCACTCAGTGTGCAGTTCACCATTGTTAGAGTTGATGATAACGGTTCAATTTCTTCAAACTCTGTGGAATAACTCTCAAGAAATGTGAAATACTTGACTGATAGAACTTCAGATATGCTCTAATATAATAATACTCATAACTGTATCTTGTCCAACAGTAAAATTGAATTGATAAAAAAGATTTATCTTCTCCCCTTTGACAAGTACTATGATGGCTGCTTTTAGCTAGAAGTTTCTCTTTCACATTGAAAATTGATTGTTAATTAAATGCTCATCTTCATCTTCAGGAGCATCTACTACAACAATGGCGTCAGATTGTGGAAATAGATCCCGATGGAACCATCACTGATTGGTTGAACAACTTTTATGATATCTTGTCTTCTACATGGCATTCACAGGTGAATATGTTGTTACCAGTGTTTAAAATTGTTGTATTAGTTTTAATTTTTCAATTTTTTCACATTTATTTGTATTAACTGAATCATAATTCTGGTGTAAAGTTTGTCTTTAAGGTATTATCCACTTTTTCTTCTTTGAACATAGGTTTGGGCAGTGTGGTCAATATTTGAGGAAGATTTTTAGCCATTGCTCATAGAATTAGGTCCGAGTTTTTTTTTTCAGGTACAACCTTTTAGTTCACATCTTCATCATCTCTTGATTGATTTGAGATCTAATCGCAGTTTTGGACTCAGGAGGTCAAACTCTTTCGATTGATATATTTGACCATGCCCAAGGTCTCATAGATTTATTTACTCTAATCGTGCCTACAAGAATTTCAATTTAAGGGTAGGCTGGTAGAGATCCTGTTGAGTAATAAAATCGAATCGGGTATATGCTCACCCCACGCTTGGTGTTGCTGGTGCACAAAAATATAGCTAATAAAAATAAAAAAAAAATCTCGTAGATTAATTTGCTCTAGTCCTGCCTAAAAGACTTTCAAGTGCCGTGGCTATTGAAGTTTCCCTCTTGTTTTTTATTGACTGCCCCTTCCTTGTGTTTGTTGATGACAATATTTTGGGCTTCTTCTTCGTGTTATGAAAGACTCAGTATGGAGCTTACAATGCTGTCAGTCAACAAACACAAGACAAGAACTATCAACAAAAAAAGCCTTCAAATATTATCTACTTTGCAGGAGAGAAATTATTATTGCCTATAGTTATTTACAGTGAATGTTTGATAAAAGTTTTTCAGCTAGTGAGTTCTTAAGTTCACTTATCAAATTTCATGTACAGTTGAATCACACACTTTTCAATAATGTATTCTGTTTTTACGGTATCATAGTTTAACCTTTTTTTTAATGTTCTGTGCTTTGTTACAGTATGGTTAGATGCGTGTTTTTACGTTCATTATGTGTTGTAAAAGTTAAAGAATTTTGTGTTTGTGTTTAGATGTCAAATACCAGTAGCTGGTTGTTAGATTTTGTTTTCATACCATTTGCAGTATAAATATTTCATGATCAGTGTTGCTGATGTTTAAAAGAAAAGTTTGATAGTTACGTAACTGTTGCAGCTTTTTTCTTATAGTTTTGTGAAGAATAAATTCAGTTACACGTACTCAGATTATGAGTAACAGGTAACTTTTGTTTCCCCCAGACAAGTTGGTTGGGTCAAGTATTCCTGGATCTGTCATCTGTAGAAATACTTTCCGAGGTTATTGTTGATGTGTTATCTAGCCTTGAACCCAGTCTCCACTTCTGTATCAAGGCAGCTCTGAAACAACAGGATAGTCCTCTGCTGTTTTTAATTGACCTTAAACAGGTAAAGCTTAGCACATGGGTTTGATATTAAATTTCTGTCTTTGAATACAAGCCAAAATTTAGTAAATTTCATCAGTTTTGGAAAATGATCGCAAGATATGTTTTGCCAGAATTCTGAAATGGGTGTTACAAAACCAATAAAAGTATTATCTCTCTCTTCCCTCCCAAATACGGACCATATATTCACATCAAAGCATTTTTGGTATTAGTTACTTATGTAAAGCTTGAAAATAAAGATACAGTTAGCTGATGAGCTTAAGACAAGTAACTTGTGTAGTGATGTTACTGCACTGCAGTTTATTTCTTTTAAACTAAGAATTAAATGGATTTCTTGTTGTTTTAAATGTTAATAAAAACTAAATGTTTCAACTTAACTAAATGTTGTAGATAATTCAGTAACAAAACTTTTTATTTTTCAGATTACTGACAGATTTGCTAGAGGTATAGAACTAGCCATTACCTCCTTTGATTCTGGTAAGATTTTGTAGATTTAATTTGAGGATTGTTCTCTTTAAAGTCAAACATTAGTAACCATAGGGATGGACATAACTTTTATACAAAATAACTCGTTTCTTATGCTAGTAGATTCCAAAATGTAAATTGTGAAATTTCAAAGGTTTCATCAGTGTACTGTTAACCATTTCATCAGTGTACTGTTAACAATTTCAACCATTTTATCAATGTACTGTTAACAATTTTAACCACCATTTCATCAGTGTACTGTTAACAATTTCAACCATTTTATCAATGTACTGTTAACAATTTCAACCATTTCATCAGTGTACTATTAACAATTTCAGCCGTTTCATCAGTGTACTATTAACAATTTCAACCATTTCATCAGTGTACTATTAACAATTTCAATTGTTTCATCAGTGTACTATTAACAATTTCAATCGTTTCATCAGTGAACTGTTAACAATTTCAATCGTTTCAGCAGTGTACTATTAACAATTTCAGCCATTTCATCAGTGTACTATTAACAATTTCAACCGTTTCATCAGTGTACTATTAACAATTTCAGTCGTTTCATGTTAACAATTTCAACCGTTTCAGCAGTGTACAATTAACAATTTCAACCGTTTCATCAGTGTACTATTAACAATTTCAACCGTTTCAGCAGTGTACTATTAACAATTTCAATCGTTTCAGCACTGTACTGTTAACAATTTCAACCATTTCATCAGTGTACTGTTAACAATTTCAACCGTTTCATCAGTGTACTGTTAACAATTTCAACCGTTTCATCAGTGTACTGTTAACAATTTCAACCGTTTCATCAGTGTACTGTTAACAATTTCAATCGTTTCATCAGTGTACTGTTAACAATTTCAATCGTTTCAGCACTGTACTGTTAACAATTTCAACCGTTTCATCAGTGTTCTGTTAACAATTTCAACCAATCTCACCAACAGTAATATTAAAATCAGTTATGAAAACATGAAACAAATAAATAAAATAAAAACTTGTACATCAAATACTTTTACTGTAGTTTAAACCTATAGAATAAATATTTGGACTATATCAGATTGTAATTTTTTTAACTGCAACTTTCAGGCCTGTAGTAAACATGAGATTTTTACATTGTGTTAGAGTGACCAGATTTCAAAACTGGGACAGACCAGCTCTTGCTCCTAATTTCAAAATGGTCCTTGTTCTTTTTCATGGCAGTTGGATTCATAATTTCCAATCTGCCAACTTTGTTATCCAAATCACTTGCCTTTAAAATGAGAAATTTGTTTTCAAAGTATCTGGAAAACACTTTCTTTTGCCATTTTGACACTATGATGGGTTAAACATTTTCATTAAAAAAAAAGTATCTTAGAGAACAGTCTCTGATGTAAATTATCCACCACACATTCACCAACTGCTATTGTATTACTACTAATTTAAAACATGCACAGACCTGGGTTTCTCACCACTCACACGTGGAACTTTCGAGAGAGTTTGGTGGCAACAGATTACGTATTACAACAATAAGCAAGTCAAGTAATCCTGTTAAATTTGTGACTCAATGTGACTGATAGTTTGATATCTCCTTCATAAAACTGGGACACTTTGTGCATTCTGAGAACTTTTCTCAGGACACTAGGACAAACTACCGAAAAACAGGACTGTCTCAGCAAAACCAGGACATCTGGTCACCCTACATTGTTTAGACATAACTGTATACATGAAAGAGTATTTAGTTAATGCTAGAAATGTTTTAGCATTTGAACTTTGTTTTGTGAACTGATCAGAGAAAATATTTTTTACTGATGTGTCTTTAAAAAATGTGTGTGTATGATAATTAGTCTGTATCGTAAATAGTCTTTCGAACTTTTGTACTGATCTTGTCTATGGCTTCTTTTTTTTTAATTTTAACATTGGAAAGATTACTGAAATGCACATGAAAACAAGCTAATTATCATCTGACAAAATTACCATTACTTACTAAGTGAGAATTAAGCCTATGATGTCATATTCTTATGTAACTTGCATGTAAAAATTTTCCTAAAAAGTTTATTGACATTTAATATTTTTATTAATCAAATATTTGAGTCATTCCATGTTAAATCAATCACTTCAGGATGGTTCCTGACCTTACTTCCCATTGTGGTAGTAATTGGTAGGGATGTTGGAGTTCAGAGATAATAGATTTAGCCAAGTTTTATGTTTCTAGGTCAAATGGCTGTTATGGGAGAGGTAACCAAATATTTGACCTGAAATGGTTCACAGATGAGATTGATGAAATAAAAGTATCAATAATGTTTTGATTTTTAATGTTGCATTAAAAAATAAACTGTTGCCGAAAAGCTCTCTTTATTCTCCAGCCAAATATCCCAGTTTTTCTCTTGTTGGTGACCCCCACCAATGCAACATGTAGAACATACAAGTTGCCAGAGAAAGAACTGCAATAACCCTCAAAAGTGCTCAAAAAAGTCATCAACTGAGTAAATATAGACTAATAATATTGCAAGTTTTGTCATTTTTATTCAATTATCAGCTTTTTTTCACCATATGTGTGAATCAGTTATTCATGCTCCTTGCTATGCTTATGTTATTACATTATTTAAAAAAACAAAAGTTGAACCAGCTGTTTTTTCCTTTCCATGCATTCCTAAATTTAACACGCATGAGTGAGAACCTCCTGATCCCATCAAGGTCCCAGGCTGATGTTTGGTACAAATTGAGAGGATAATGTGAATTTCAGTATCCAATCTTGATTTTGGTCATCTATGTTGGTACTTCAATGTCATTGAGTCTCATCTGGGAGCATTTTCAAGTTAAATATTTGGTGACCTTTCAATTAAAAACAGCTTGACCTAGAGACATTGAACTTTGTTAAATCTAATATTTTCATTGCACCAGCGTCCCTGCCAAATAGCATCAAAGATCACGAAACCTTTGATTTTGAGGGTGAATGACCCAACATAGATTGATCCTTTTAGAGTTTTCACCTGTAAGAAGAAAGTATAGTATAATTAAGTTTACTTCTGATTTTCACAGACAATCTCCAGAAACCTCACACTGCAATGTTGGCCCAGACGTTGTACGCTCCATACAGACCACTTATAGAGAAGTATGCGAGTTTGGAAGGAAGACTACTACATTCCCAGCTTTCTACTGTTTGCTTTGTAAGACTCGTTTTTTTTTTCTTTATCCACACATGTATATGGAAGTGTAGTCCAAATGCGTTTACTAGGTTTATGGGTGTTTGACTCTATGCAGTCAACACAAGACAAGGTAGAAGCAGAACACTGAAAACAATTCAACAAAGAAATGTACTCCAGAAAAGTGAATGGTTGACCAACCCTCAGCATAGGGCTGTTTGCTAGTCTACCCAATGAATGCTTTCAGTGGAAATTCCATGCATTATGTGGACTTGTAACCTTCACATTTTTTCATAACCACTGCACAATTGATTACTGATTGATTGGCTGGCCTTTATAATCTGATTTGTTATCTCTTCAGGTCACACTTTGAAGTAGTTATTGGTCAGTGACTACATGTTTGCCAGAACTGCTTTCCTCATATCCTGCTGTGTCTGTTTCCAGTGTTTCATTTTTAATATGTTACACTAGAATTAAAAATCTAATCCACATCCAGATATATCTGTATAACTCTAAGACTTGAACTTTATTTCCTGTTATGTATATTTATATACCTTTGGACTAGAACTGTAACTTGGGTACCTCTACATAGTCTTGAGGTTGGTAAATGTACCAAGATAGTTATGGTGCTGGAACTGTAACCCAGCATCTCTACATAGAAATTGGATTGGTATACCTATCTTCATAACCATGGAGTTGATACATCTACTTTATGTAGCTGTGGGGGTTGATGTATCTATCTGCTTAGTCGTTTGGTTATACCTCTAACTACATAATTATGAGGCTGGTGCATCTGTCTACATAGCCATGGGGTTAGAACTGTGCTCCAGATGCGTACGTTTGTGTAAGCTCGAAGTTGAGCCTTGTGTGGTTCTTAGAAATATATGACTACATTTCTTTTTACCATTGGCAATATGAGCTTTAAATTTTTTTTTTTTGTGATGATCTTTATAAAATAGAGCCAAGGTTTAAAGATCTCTAATTTATGTCACATTGTAAAGAAACTTGGATATGATGTGTAAGATGTTTTTTTGTAAGGAACTAGGATATGATGTGTAAGATGTTTTTTTTTTTTTTGTAAGGAACTAGGATTTGATGTGTAAGATGTTT